CAGTAATGGTACAGCGTGACACCGGCCAGTGGTGGTTGGGATACGTTCAGGACATTGACGGCGATAAGTTCTTCGTTGACTTCGATGCTGCCACAGTCAGCGCCCAGTGGATTCATGCAAGCTGTATGTGGCCTCACCATTACATCTAAGATATCTTTGGACATCGAGGCTCCACTGTACAAGTTGCGCTGCGGTCTGCGTGTAGTGGGCCGATGGTTTTCCAACCCGGCACTGTAATTAAGGAGGTTGGCGATATGTTCTTCGTTGTACGCATGGATGATCACAGTCCAGCCGGGAAGAATCCACAGACTTTGAGCTGCCATATCGTGCACCGGAATCTGGTCGTAGAGACATTACCAACGCTGGAAGAAGATCAGGGCTTCGGACAACCTAGCGGGCACCCTAGCGGGTTTCTGTACAAAAAGCATTTCATCAGGTTCCCCAACGCGAATTTGTTGGCTGACACGGATTTCATACCTATGTTTCTGGTACGCACATGCCAGCTAGCACCACGCGAAGGGTATGATGAATGTTCTTCGAACTGTCGATTTTACACTCGAACGGGAGTTTATTTGGATGAGATGGAGTTCACCTGTGAAGGACCGCACCAGAAGAATTATTTCATCGATGTGGGTGTTCGTGTATTTGCGCGATTTGATGTTGATACGGTGACCTTCGTCTGCGCGGAAATGCACGGTGACGCAGCCGGTCGCAGTATGTTCTGGAGTGAAAATTCCCTAGAGGAAGCCTGCAATAACTACATAACTTGGATAGCAGCGGGACACCATGTTGCCCTACGCGCGACGCCGTGGGATAGGAATGAACATGGTGAGCATGTGTTGTTGCGATTTCAGTGCTTACTGTTTATAATAATTTTACCGGTTTTTGGCTGCTGAGTGCGTATCTGAGCGGCCAGATACATATGGTTGAATGTGATAACCCACCCACATTTACAATAGCAGATGTTTAACGATTGTTGTATAAAATCATGTAACGAACATGTTTCCAATAAGGTCAACGTCGCAGTATTCCGCGCAGGTATGGAAGAAATAGCGATCAGTGACCTTCCGCATTCGATCTTGGCATGCATTCTGTTCAGTCTGGATGTGGAGTCCCAGTTGCGCGCCAACAGGCAAGTCCGCCGTACATGACAGATTAATTAAGACACACAAACCTTTTAAATTGGACCGACATTATACGAGTAGGATAGGTTTTTAACAGTAGCCGGTGCCCAATGCTGAAATATAATTATAACAAAGCCAAAATTGCATTAATATGAGCAACAGTAGAAATTAAAGTTGATATGTGAAGGAATTAACGTATGCGCGAGACACCTGATACGATACAGAATACAGATACAGCTTAGGACTAAAAAGACGCATAACCCCATACCCAGATATCCGTACGCATGTGGCAAGTGCACTTGTACGATAACCCGATATGTTAGCTGAATCGTGCAGCGTACTGCGCCGCATGCGTTCGGAATGCTGTGGGTGGGGATTATGCGTCTTTTTTGTCCTAAGCTGTAGTTATGGTTACTGGAATATACAATACAAATATCTACCACAGTGTCGGTGACCAGTGCATTTCGGTTTTCTAGAGTGTGCATGTTGTGGAGGCTACTTTCCCGCACATATGCCACCAACCGTAACATCCTTTTCGATCTGTGCGCAACTTGCGATAGACAACCAAAGGATGACGAGTTAACATCTGATTACAGCCACTATCTCATGTACAGATTGGTAACCATGTTGGAAGGCTTACATCCTCAAGATATCTATTCGATGACGCTAACCGAAGATCGACAGCATTTTCACTTCTTGACTGACCTCTTAACAAGACTGTGGTCGGTGGAAACAGTATTTGAAACCAGAGGTATTCGCCTCCCTTTGCTCGTAATAAAGAACGGCCGTGATTGCGCGGACGGAGCGTTTGGTTCATTTTTGGCTCCCCGTCGCAATCCCCACAATAATACCTTCGAGTGCATTTCGCTATCTGACTTGATGTCGGTGTGCGAGAAACTGGTGCTGATCGACTTTACAGCGACGGAAGGCATCGTGGGTGCGGCGGAACAAATACTGTGCTTTGATGCGGAATCAGCGCTGCCCATGTCAGAGAAAGAAAAGCTTAGACCCAAGGACCCTGTTGCTGAGCTTGACTTGATCAATCCGCTGTTGCGCTTTACCTCTCAAGAAACGCCGGCTGAACAGTGGCGAGTCTTTTTGGCAGCCGCAAACGCCAATTGTCCGGCAGTTAGTCAGCGCGCGGTGCAGAAGGTCAGGGCGATATATGCCCGCTGGGTGCAGACGCTAGTCTACCCGGATGAATGGACCGGCATCCGCATTTTCCTGCAGCTGTAAGTGCCCTTTCGTAATCATCAGATCAGGTGTTTTAACCCACGATTCGCTTATAGAATCGTACTTTACGAAACGCCGCTTCACAGTGAAATGGAATAGCCTCAGGCTATCCTGTAAAGTTGTGATCATTCAGTGCAAAGCGTTTTCGCTTATTTTTGATAGGAATTGTTCTGCGTTCATATCATAGGAATTGTTCTCCTTTTGTTGCCGGTTTCAGGAACATAACATATATTTCACCCTTTAAATGCTGATTCGGATCTGACACTGGTTTGGATTTTCAGGTTCAACAGTTCGGGCCCTGGTGATATGCAACGCTGGGAGACTATGGATCTCCGTCAGCTGGATATTTCTGCTTTGACTAACGTTACCATTGCAGCCCTAGACGCATGCTTCAAAGCGTAAATTATTCATTCTTGAATACCACGTGTTTCTTATTTCGCCTACTCCGGTTTTCTACCAGTTGTCACTGGTGTCAGTGTTTGAATCGATTTTAGGTCAAGTTAGGATAATTATTTGTTTGTTTGAAAGTTTGCGAAAACGAACGATTATTTTTATATTGCTGATGATGTTATGTTCATTTGAAGACTATTGTTTCAGCGGCATTGTTTTTGCAGTTTTCAGTTTGAGAAGATTTCTAAACTTAGTGGATTGACTTTCTTACTTTCTTCTGTTTTCTAAAATACCTAATCCCCTCCTGTCATTACTGGAGGCGTTCTTATTCTGTGGGAGGTAGGCAAGTAACTCAGTGTGTTCAGTGAACAGTGTGTTAACATCGCTGTCCGCAAGAGGCTCGGAAGTCCGATACACTCGTCGACAGCGGGCTTATTCACTGACCCTCTCAAAACAGCATAGAGATTATGGGCGGAAACATTTCACGTACTCAGTACTATGAATGCACAGCATCAGCAACGCAGATTTACCTTGCTAGTTTTACAGCAGCACTGGCTTCCGTTTAATTAACAAAAGTAGCTACTGCACTAAATATCTTCGGAATTCTACGAGTAGGTATGCAAGGAAATGAATTTCATACCGCAAACGAAACATTGACCATGAACTAACGCAGTCTGAAGTTCAAGGCACTTTAATAATTATTAAGCAATCCATATAAACTGTACTAAAATACAATAATGATCTGTAAAGTCAAAGTAACTGCGTTCGACTGCACGAAACCAAAACATCCATTTTTTTATAAAATTTTTGTGATCGGGCTCTTCAGATTTATCCGTTCTAAGTTAACAATCCGTAAACCGGCCAAGGAGTTTAGAACCAAGAAACGCGGAGGCGAAGCCGAGGCTGTTTCTTGTAAGTTATTAGTACGAGTATTATCGCACTACAGTAGCTAGTGGGCATAATAATGGTGCATTACAAATAAGTACGAGTACACATTTTGATGGAGGCGCGGTTGCAGATAACGTTTTCAGCAAGAAATTATGAACGTCTATGAAAAAAAGATGCCATTCAGAAATCTGCACTGACAGTACTTTGTGGAAGATGGCATTTTGCGTTTCTGCCTTATGATTTATTATTATACACATGTACTCGAGCCGGCTCTTAGCTGTCACTGCCAGAAACCGGAAATGCAGACAGCTGACTCTGTTTTTTGCGAAGTTATTTCTCCGTTTGCATTAAGGAAGAAATGTATGTATATTTAGCAGTCAGAGAGATACGGAGCGAACAGACGGGAGTACGTCCCTGAAATTTTAACCGTCTCGCGCCTCTCGGCTGCCGTTTATAAGCACCAGCCTTGGCGTGATGGCATGACATGATTAGGCCTGGAAAAATAGATGGTTCGTTGAAACGCTTACCATGTGTAAACAAGCGCAGCTTCTCGGTCTGCATTCAGTGCTGGTGGTTTAAGCGCAGCGGATGTGTTCTTGTTGCACACTGTTTGTTGATTTGGTTCAAACTAACTTGGCATTTCACCCAGCTTCGCAGTTCGTTATTGTTAATCGGGTTAAATAAGGATAATGAATTTCACTACGGTGCAGCCAGCGGAATATGGCTGGGAGGCTGTCCACGGCACGTTTGGCAGCCCCGCTATATGGGAATATGTCGGGCATTTTTGCGAGTGTGCGGTGACTAGACTGACATGCTTAACCGTGGTGCTGAGCCTGTCGACCGTGGTGGATGCACTGATGACCGTGGCCCTCGTCTGCCTCGTGTTGGTTCTTTATAAGCAGCAAAACTTGATCGAACAAACGCAGAGCCGACTGGCCCGATTGGAAGCCGAAGTGACCTGGATGGTCGCGGGCGCGGACGGCCGCGTTGGAATCGAGCACGATTCCGCAGCGCTGCTTCTCGCCAAGGTAATGTTGTCCGTTATATTACCAAAACATTAATTTTTACCTAATTCCTTTATTTTATCCATTTTTATTTTTATAAATACTCATATATAGACTTACTGCCAGTGCACTGTAATTATGTAAATCGTACAATATGTCAAGCGTGCGGTTAGTAATACTGCGATATCCAGTTAGCTGTTCGTGTACTAATCAGGGTAACCTTTCAGAAGATCCTTAAGGAACCGGTCTAATGGAGGCTCGACCGACTACTTGGCTAACGGACTGCACCGACATCGTGGCCATAACGAACGCGCTAATCGATATTGGGCACTTACTGCATGCTCACGCTTTCTTTGACTGCTGCAGCTTAAAAATGGCAACTAACAAAAAAGGTGCGCTTTATTATATTTTTATCCCTGCTCACTCTGTCTCAGGGTAATTCTTCTTGATGTTACTGTTACTGGTAGCAGTAATAGAAATGGAGCTGGTATTGCTTATCGTAGTGGTACTTCTTTATACACATTTTAGGTGTTCTATTTATCCAAATGTTCTGCAGTTACGAGCTTTAGCTCGTAGTTGCGCTTTAGCATGGACAGCTTTAGCATGGACAAGCATGGACACACAGATGGATTTATTTGTTTAACAATGTCTTGTTGACCGACAGCTTGCTGTAGACTATAATATGTTGATATAATAATATGTTGATATACAAAATCCTAACCCGATGATTTGCTGAAAAGTCAAACGACAAAATTAATCAATGATCGAATATTGTTATGCAACGGTCTCATGCAACAACAATTTTCTGACGACAAGTGGACTAAGGACACTATAAGACAACCTAAGACAGAATAAGAAAACCTGAGAAACGTAAAAAATGACTAAAAATCCTAACAGTAAGTAATGTAAAAACGGAAAAGATATCATAGTAACACCTTTTCGCTATCTGATGGCCGTGTGTGAGCAGTTGGTACTATGCGACTTCACGGGGACGGAAGGCATCGCAGGTTCGGCGCAACAGATGCTGTTTTTTGATGAGACAGCGGTTTTGCCGGTGTCTAAGGAACGAGTGTTTTGTACCAAAGACTACGTTGTTGGAGCAGGCATTGTCCGGCAGTTAACGCAAATTGCCCAGGTAGTCAACACCCGGTGCGAAAGGTCATGGCGGTATATACGCGCTGGGCGGAGACGTTAGCTTATCCGGGCAAATCTGACGGCATTCACGTCTTCCTGCAGCTATGAGTATCGATTCCATTATGGGTGGTGTTTAAATGTTTTCATCAGAGATTTTTGCTTGTTTTCATTGTACGCTTCACAGTGTAGTTGATTATTATTAGATTGTAGTCGCTACACCGCTACGATATACGGTCCGGTATTCGATACGGTGGGACACCGTATCGCAAGCATATCGTCGGGAAATCAGAGTAGTCGCACTTTTAACAGCCACAAACGGTATACGATATGCGCTCGAGTCTTGCCGACTAAAATCTATTATTATTATTATTCATGGACCAGGTAGCCCATTTCCGGCTAGGGGTAACATACTATGGGATTTTAAACCTGGTCAAACAGTGATAGATGGACAGTAGTGAGCATAAAACAGCTTATTCGAAATTAGCATTGTTCAGCATGTTTAAAGACACCAATAGTACACAGTATCGAAAATATCAGAACAGTTACGGTCAACGAAACACGTCGACAGTTTATTAGGCTTCCAGGTAAAGGCTGTTTCGCTGACTTTTTTTCTTCGCTGTATGTGATTATGGTGGCTTTCCTTCCGAAGGCTGTACGGCTTCCCCTGGTGTTCGAATTTCACCATTTCGATAATGTACTGCGTACATGGAAGTTGTCCGCGTGTTTGATTTTGTATAACTAAATCGCTTCTTTGTATGATCTGGTAAAGAACGGTAAGATCCCGTGTTTGCTCATGACCGATTCCGTGGATATCCCCACGTCGTTTGCAGCCGCTCGAAGGCCGCTACGACATCTTGGCCAATTTATCACGCAAGCACACAGATGCCCCCGCTCCACACTGTGAAGCAGTTGTCCAGATGAGACAGATGAGACTAGGTACTTTCAGTTCTGACTGCCTTATGATAATGCTGCCCAACGGACTGTGCGTCATGGTCCTATGTGTCATTCAGAGATAACGCAAGCGTTGTGCATTGGTTTTCTTGTAGTCCAACATGCCTTTAAGGCAACTTATTGCTTAACGGAAAATCTAATCTCGACTAGATTTTCCGTTGGGTATCGTTGACTTATACATGCATGTGCGTGTTACACGTGTACAAATGAGTGCAATGCAAACTGCACTGCATTTCACGTTAATGCTGTTAATGCACATTATCGACGCTGTGTAATAACAAATTCAGCTTTAACATAATTGTACAGAGAGATGCATATATACATTAATTTAATGACTTCGAGATGGCATTCATTACTAATTAGGTGGTAATTTCGCGCAATAATTATTAATTAAACATGTAAAGCTATCGTAGTCATTCGTTGACGGCAGTAATTAGCTTTACCGATGTATTGAAGATAATTGGATATACAGTAACATTTTCGCGCTCTTTTTTGCATGTGCGATGTGAAGATGCATAAAGGCCATGCACCACTCGGTTGTTTATCAGCTGACTTAGCGTAAAGTTCGGTCATTCACTTGTCGCTCATGACCGTTCGTATGTTATCGCATTATTGTAGTTTTTCCGCGTCATTTGTTGTTACTCCTGCCTCTTGGCTTTTTTATAGCAATCTCAACTGCGGTAAAGAAATGAATCTAGACTGACTTGTGAATAAAGGCATAGAAAAGTGCAATGCGGTGCGACACTGGCAGGCCGACTTTCACGCGGTTTAACAGAGTTTGGAAACGGCAGCTAGTACGCGAATAATTGTTATCATATTTCTGTTTGTATAAACTGCTACATACCTGTACTTTGATCAATCCGTTTAAACGAAAACTTTTATGCACTTCCGCGTGCTATCTTGTTTTCCTATACAGTACAGCAGCGGCGCCGGTTCACTCGTGTACCGGTGACCATACCCATCTGAAGTTTCTGGCTACCAGAGACAAAAAAAGAGGCTAGCAAAAATTAAAACGAGCAGATAACGGTGCCCATTTCGCGATGATGAGAAAAAACTGCATTATCGTCTTTCGCGGAAATAGGTTATTTCCGGTTCTCTAGCTCGATCGCTTGCTTACATATTTCTGTAGCTGCAGAGTATTATACGTGTTACACAAAAACATTAGAAACCAAATTTGTTTTGTGGTTGAAGAACACGATTCGTTGCCGCAACGCACTGACTGCCACAACCGAGCCAACGTGAAAACAGCCGTGCACTGTGAAATGCAACAAGTTCCTAGCTAACCGGTAGCGTCGGTAATACGGTTTACCGTCTCGGATTTTACCTGCACGTGAAAGCAGGCACCGCTCTCGCTCCCGGCGAAATGACAGCCGCCTACTCCGAATCATAGAGTAGGGTTTTACCTTACGGAATTTTACTGCAAGTGTAGCAGGAAAAACGTAATACATGGACAACACTTGTCGTGGTTGCAAGGATCGAGGATATTTATGCATGTATATAAACAGATAGGTGACTGCGAGGAAACCCCATAAGTCTTAATCAGCTCTGGTGCAGATTAATTAAGAAACTTTATAAATTTCCGTTTCCCAGCTCCACTTCGCAGCAGTCATGCAGATCCTCCTGGTGACCCTTCTTTTGGTAGCCTGCACTAGCGCCAACGTTATCCGCGAACGCCGACAAATAACCGGTGGCAGCGCCGGCTGCACCGCCGAGCAAAAGGCCCAGTGCGGTAAGTGACCTTTATTCAGTTGCTTTCAATTATTGCTTAATGTACTAGCGGAAACTGAAAAAGCGGTAAACACGTTGCATATAAAAATTACCGAAAGAAATGTGCAGTGTCTCATCGTGGTATCTTTAATTTTAGGTATGGCACAGTGCCAGAACAACGGCAACACGAACACCCAGTGGGGCAGTGGCGGTAACACTGGTGGTGCCGGATTAATCGGCCTGATCCCCATTAACGCTCTGAACGGTGCCGGTGTGCAGGCGCCCATCAACGCCAACATCTGCCCCTCGGTCTCCGTCTGCAACGTCTGCTTGGGGGCCAACGTGCTTGGTTAACCGTTTTCGCTTTGCCCTAACTTGTCGCATATACTCGAACATGACAGCTCTCTTTGCGACATCGTGTGACGCTTTTCAGATTAAAATGATTTGCATCAAAATTTGAGAAAATTCGGCTATCTGTTTCTACTGTAAAGAAATATAGAGACGGTCATTTCCTGCTAACTATTACACAGACTACAGACTGACAGTGATCCATCCTTAAAAACACACAACTGCAATGTGATAAGCTGGAAAGTTTTTGCAACTGCAACTGTGTACAATGTCCTTATTCATTGTCAGTATCTGTTAACCAACAAGCACGACGGGCAGAGTGTTAAGAACTTAAAAAATTCAGAAGCTTATTAAAAAGTGCAGCTGCATCCCTTTGAGACGCTTGCCCCAGTATTGTCGACCGCTTTTAACTTTGAATACATATGCGCAAAACATCGGTTTCTGAACTTTTTCCCAATAAGTACCACAAAATATTTTGGTTTATGGTACTTCAAATTTCAAATTCCCCAATATTATTATGCCAGTGAAACCCGCATGCTATGTCACATGTTTTAAAGCACTTTTAGATCCGCTGACCATTCAAAGGTCACCAAACACCTGTCATGACGCGACCGAATGCCGAAACCTATGGTGCACACTGCACAGTGTTTATGAAATTCGGATACGCAGATGCAGGGTATATAAGGAGAATTCAGTTGCTCACAATGTAGATACCTCCCTGTACTGCTCCATACGTATGGATTTTCACATCATGGCTGAACAGAGGTTTCACATCATGGCTAAAGCGCCATATTTGTACCTGCACATTGGCGCAGGTACATGTACCGTACAAATCTTTATAAATTTTAAAGTTTTATCAATGCAGATTGTACATCTATCGAAATTTTAAAAGCAAACAAAATTTTTGTGACCAGGCTTCATAGATACCTGACTGATTGATATTTGATTATTAATTAAGGTAAGTGGTTTGGTACAAGATATCACAAGGTCCTTCCTCAACCAACAAAGAATTAGTTTTAATGCATTTTATTACCGAATGATTTGCATACAGCGATTGGAAACGGTTTGTGCGCGCAACATCCGCTTGCTGAATTATGACGCATTAAAGTGGAGAAAACGCTTAAACGCGTGACTGTTTTAAAATGATCCGAATACTGCCCATCCGGAGTCGTTATGATAATGGAACAACGCCAGCAGTTTATGTACGCCGATAATGTGGTTTATTGGGGCCATTTAATGTGTTCATTATAAAATCGCAGGCAAAATTACTGCCGAATGCAAAATCGTCGCAAAATTATGGCGGTATATTTGGCTTACTGTGCACCTGATAAATTGCATTTTTATGTCCACTGTCTGCATAAAATGTCCTTGCTCGAACTTGATTTCGGCATATCCGCATATGGGCAATTCCTGAATCCGTTCACACTCATAACGTTATAATTCTTTTCTCTCCGCCATTTTGTGTTGCACTTTTACGCATATCCAACTGTAATGGAGGAAGAGTTAGAGTCTTTTAATCTGTTGGTGCTAACACGACACCATCACCGGTGGAATGCGATAACTCTGTTACAGTTAATTACGCATTTCAAAGACAATGTGACCTGTTGGTGGCGTCGCCGGTTTCCGGTTGAAAAGTATTCCTACAAAAAAATGGTACAAGCGTCGTATCTTTTTTGTCGGGGCATTTTTTCGTTGGCGCACCAGTTATTCTACGGAAATGTATAAACGTGTGGAAAGAGGAGCGACGAGATTGCTGGCTATATCTTGAACGTGTCCCAGCCACAATGGTGGCTGGGATACGTTCAGGATATTGACGGCGACCAGTTCTTCGTCACTTGTTAGCATTAACGGAAGACACGCAGCATTCTTTCGGCATGACAGCCCTCCAACTACAACCTGAGACGGTAGAAAGAGTACTGAAGCCCAAAGGCATTTGTCTGCCTTCGCTCGTAATCAAGTACGCTGGTCCTCTCACGGATATAACGTTCTTTTCGATCCTGTCCCTACGCCGCAGTCGTTTCCACCATTTCCACAACTACACCTTTGAGTGCACCGCGCTGTCTGACCTTATGCGGGTGTGTAAACAGTTGACGCTGATCAACATCCGCGCGGCGGATGCCATCATTGGCTCGGCCATTCAGATACTGTACTTTGATATGGAAGCGGCTTTGCCGGAGCCGGAAAGACTGGTGTTCATGCGCCCGGGTCATGTTGTTAAGTGGGACATCATCATTCCGCTGTTGCGCTTTAACTCCACAAAAACGCCGGCTGAACAGTGGCGAGTCTTTGTAGCAGCGGCAAATGCGAATTGTCCGGTAGTCAGTCAGGCCGCCTTCCGAAAGGTAACGCAGCTGTATGCTCGCTGGGTACGGACGTTAGTCTATCCGGATGAATGGGTTGGCATTCGTATTTTTCTGCGATGGACAGATAAGTGAACTTTTGCGCACGCATTAAAGGTTGTGATGTTATCGAAGATCATATTTTATACCGCGTTGTCTCATATTAAAATTCCAGTGTTCATTCGGATTTCACGGTGGCAGTTGTTTTCAGGTTAAATAATTCGGGACCCGCTGATCTACAGCGCTGGGAGACTATGGATCTCCGTCAACTAGATATTTCTACTCTGACCAATGTGACCGTTGCGGCCCTAGATGCATGCTACAAAGAGTAAAGCATCCTTGAAATTTATGTGATTTCTGATTATTTTACCACGTTTTGTGCATATAGTTGCTGGTAACAGGGCTATTCGGCTCGGTAGCAGGGATAACTTGACAAGGCTTTCGATAACGGCAGTGTTCGCATGTTTATTGTTTATCATAGTACTGCCAAATACCGTTACGTTTATCCTACATTTCTACATGTACTTACTTTGGACAATGCTGTTTCAGTGGATGTTTCTTAATAATTGTGGAAAAGATGTTTTTTTTAATATAGTCACCGTTTTTGCTTAACAGAACCACATAATCAACGTCACGACTGAAAGCCGTTCATGGGGGCATAATAAGGAATTTTTTTGTTTAGTGTGACTAGATTTGATATAAGGAGATTAATACTAATTCGCTTTTAAACGCAGACAGCAGGAAATTTTACTAATTACGATACACACCAGCCAACTCTTTTTATCGTAGTTGCAAGTATAAAACATCCTTGTACCATGATGTACGTACGCGTACATGTAGGTCTCCTGTTTTTCGATTTACTGCACAGTATGGTACTGCGAGATTTGAGCACCAGCCAAACATCAAAGCAAATAAATATTTAATCATCACTTACATATCATTTCATGACAAACATCACACTCTGTAATGCCGGAATCATCAGCATCACAGCGGTGGCGGAGAAACATATTCCCAGAGGTTGCAGGTTACACCTTTGCACCACCCGTACACGGTCCCGTCCATGCCAACAAATTGGTACGCGGCTTTAAAATAAAATCGCCCATACGTTGTGATGGTGTCGTCGCAGTAGTTCGCCAGTTGGAGATGCGCGGCCGGTCCGAAAGTGAATTATTTGGGTAGTTCCGCAATCGTAAAATGTGCCGTCTATATAAACAAAATCGCGGATACAACTTATTCCTGTTCCAATACACTTTGTGAGCAACATGCTTATGCTTGTTTATTTCTGAGCAATGGCGTCCCAAATCGAGGACATGCTCGGGATAATAAGGTGCAATTTGTTTATTATGTATTTGGAGCTCGCAATAGCACTGTATCATTTTGTAAACTATAAACATTATTGTGCCTAACTCCAATGTATTATATCGATAAAACGTTGCCACGCATGGGGGGTGGACTTTATTAACAAAATCCCTGGTGGACGAATTTGTCCACCGGAAACGAACAAACAACTGCACTGCAACCAACAACTGCATAGCACAAAAAACAAAAGAACGCCTGCACAGGGCAGGTACGCCTCCAAACCCCCAAATCACTCCCGCGATCCGACTGCTGCCATACACTGCGCGAATTCCTCTCGTCTGCGATTATCCAAACTGACATATTTCTCATAACAGCTGCTGCGCCAATTGCCTTGCGCTTTAATTACCGCTGGCGATGCTCCGAATTTGGCTGCTGCTGTGGCACCTCCTCGCCGGAACGAATGCGTGGATGACTTACTGCCGTCGATTCCGGCATCTGCCAGCGTTTGCTTTAAACAACGGCTGAACACGTGAGACGTCATGGCCACCATCTGCCCGGCTGACCGGTACGATATAAGTGGGTCATTTCCTTTCGCTTTCGTTGTCGCTAACAACACTTCCACTGCGCTTACTGGGCAGTACACTGCTGCTGCCCAGTTTTGGAACAACTACATGTGCTTCCGCGCCCTTGTAGCGGTTGCTTTTTAGCGCTGGCGCTGATACTTGCAGCCCCATCTCGATGCGCCGCACATTCAAAACTTTAACATGCGTACTGCTCTTTCTGAACGAACAAAACAAATTAGATGCCCGCAATAAGGAAAAGAATGCCAATAAGCAAGCGGCCCAGAAGGCCTTCCTGCCCGCTGCCTGCACTGCATGCAAATGCTTATGGATAGTTAACAACAGGTCCACATCTACTGCTGCTCGCTTGTTTGGCAACTCCTCGCGGAGACGCTGAACACCTGCCAATGCTTCCTTTACTGCAAAATGCGTGAAATCTGGCGCCGCCATGTTGTGCTCATGGTGAAAATGCTGACATAATTCTGAATTGTTGTATGCTGTAAACTGCGTGCAAGCTCTGCTATATACAGACTGACGTATGTACCGACGCCGGTAGTGCTTCCAGGTTATACGCCGCGCAGAATTTCATGTACCGGCTCCATTGCGCCTTCCTCGTTTTCTGCGATGAACTGGCTGTGGCAGACTGCCGCAAACTTTTCAGCCGTTTCTCCAGATCCATCAAGCGGGTATGCTTGTCCTGCGGTTGCCGGTAACGGCGCTCCGGGAAAACTGCGAAATACAGACCTGAATTTATCCGCGTTCGTGACATCCAGTGTTAAACGGCTCAAGGCATCGGCCGCTACGTTTGTTACTCCCGGAACATCAACTGCGGTTACGTAAAGGTCATAGCGTAATGACGCATAAAACAAAATCTTCAACCACTGCAGTGCGGAAATATTTTTGGTAGTTCCGCGCGTTAAAAACGCAACTGTAGCGCTGTTAATGAGCCGTCCGCTGCTGGCGACGGAAGCCAACTGTCTGCCATATGCTGCAATCTACCGTTTGGCTACCGTTGGTTCGATAATAATAACAATAATAATGATAATAATTCACGTTGAAAAATTAGCGCGGCTGTGATAGTTTTCCGTTGGCTGCACACAGATGCAGACTTAACACTATGAAAAGGGGAAGACTAGTCTTCGCATAGGAATAATGT